AAGTCTCTTTTACACAAAGAAAAATGTTTTTCTTTTGTTTTGTTTTTGTTCTGTTTTTTTTAAAAAAGGCTGTAACTGGCAAATTTATTTTTTTCCTCAATGCTTGCCCCCAAGTTCAGGGTTGTAACTTCCTATTCCAGATGCCTACTGCATTAGTCAAATTGAATGCAAGCGTTCATTAATGCAAATGTGCTTCCAATGTGGCATGGTGGATGGATCCTCTCTTTCCAATCTCATTTTCACCTACTTTTCTTCCAATGCTTTCTAAAGAAACAGTATTTTCCAGCTTCCACTCTTATCAAAGGTTTTGAAAAGTAAAACAAAATTTCAGTCTGATTTTGATTTTGTTGGAGGGAGCATATACCCCAGATGATACTAAATTATATCACTAATAGCGATAATATGGTCAAAACAACAGTATCTACCTCTTCTGCTGTCATGATTTTAATACTAACTTCAAAATGCCGTCTCTAAAAAGAAGTCTAAACCCTAAAATATAGCTAGTTTATCTGATCATCTTTATTACAGGGAGAGTAGTTATGACCATGGCTTTGGCATCCTCCATCTACCACTTACTTGCTGTGTTACCTTGAGCAAGTGATTTCACCATTTTCAAGTCATTTCAATTGGTAAAAGAGCCAGTCCCTTTCCTTCATAGAACTGCTTATGAAGATTAAATGAGATGATTCATTTAAAGTTTACTGGGCATAGTAAAAGTTCAATAAAAATTAGCCACATACTACATACTACATCTATACTTCTGTCAATATCTTCGTATGTTTTTATGAAGTACAGGAAAACATTAAAATGTAATCCACTATTTTGAAACTCTCAGGGATTAGGCTGAAATATAATGTTGCTTCATAGAAAAAGGAAGCCATAAGCAAAAGACCACAAGGACTACTCAGGGGTACTCCATTGACATTCTAATTAGAAATCTATTCATATCAAAAGTTTAACTTCCTAGCTTATGTAGCTGTATTCTCAAAGTACTACAACTTAGTAAATATCACAAAATTTACTTTAAAAAACTTTAACTGCCCTTTACTCAGTCTGAATTAATGACATTTTTTATACATGCATCTGCCTGAAACCCAATAATGATAAATACATATTTCAGGATAAAAAAAATCATGTCATTCTTAAATCTTAAAAAGTCCTATTTAGCCCAGGTATGGTGGCTCATGCCTGTAATCCCAGCACTTTGGGAAGCTGAGGTGGGAGGGCCGCTTGTGCTCAGGAGTTCAGCCTAGGCAACCTAGTGAGACCTTGTCTCTCTCTATATTTTTTTTTAAGTCCTATTATTACTACATATTGCTTAACATGATTGGAGTATATAAAAATAGCCACAATTTCCCTAAGGCTAGATAGCTAAGGTATATGAAGCCAAAGAAATTAGTTGGGTTAGTGTCGGTGACGGACTCAAGGTGCATGCTGGTGGCAGTGGTCACTTTCAAAGGCCTGTGTGGAAGTGGACTGTTTCCAGAGCCCTCATCTCCCACCCAGGGTTTTAATATAGTTAACCAACTATATCAACAGCTTCCTCTTCCCTTATTTTCACTAAGGCAGACTGGAAGCTACCAGTCTTGGCTACCCTAGAAAACACCTAATCATCTGCCAAGGTGTTCCCTCAAACAACTGAACAGACTAACCTCTAGACCACCAATGATGTAGGGCCCCACTGGGCTACTTTTCCATCATGTGTTTTGTTTATTTGTTTGTTGCAGGAGAAAATGCTACTAATAGAGGTTAAATGAAACCCATTCGAGGATAGGGCATTCTTTTTGTTTTGTATTGTTTTTGAGATGGAGTTTCGCTCTTTCGTCCAGGCTGGAGTGCAATGGCGCGATCTTGGATCATTGCAAACTTTGTCCCCCAGGTTCAAGTGATTCTCCTGCCTCAGCCTCCCGAGTAGCTGGTATTATAGGTGCCTGCCACCACACCCGGCTAATTTTTGTACTTTCAGTAGAGACGGGGTTTCGCCACGTTGGCCACGCTGGCCTTGAACTTCTGACGTCTCAGGTGACCCGCCTGCCTTGGCCTCCTAAAGTGCTAGGATTACAGGTGTTAGCCACCGCGACCAGCCAGATAGGGCATTCTTAATTACCTTTTTACAATAGCGCTATTCTCAATCTACACTGGTCAAAAAAAATTTTTTGTAAGCAAAAAGTAAGAATAAGTATATGTGTTGTCTTACAAATTCTAATACACACTGTGAAACTGAAACCTATTTAAACATTCATTTTTAATTTAAATCCTTTTTATTTACCTCCCTTCTACTTGAGTGCACATGTAATTTCTGTTAACCAGCGATGAAAATAATTTTTAAAGCTATGACAGTTCTCTTTTCAACATGTCATACATTAGGTATGTTAGCCATGGGTTACACTGTTACACCGTTTAGAGTATCAACTATCCCTTTTCTATTTATTTATTTATTTATTTTTTTAGACGGAGTCTCGCTCTGTCGCCCAGGCTGGAGTGCAGTGGCGCGATCTCGGCTCACTACAAGCTCCGCCTCCCGGGTTCACGCCATTCTCCTGCCTCAGCCTCCCGAGTAGCTGGGACTACAGGCGCCCGCCACCATGCCCGGCTAATTTTTTTTTTTTTTGTATTTTAGTAGAGACGAGGTTTCACCGTGTTAGCCAGGATGGTCTCGATCTCCTGACCTCGTGATCCGCCCGTCTCAGCCTCCCAAAGTACCGGGATTACAGGTGTGAGCCACTGCGCCCGGCCTAACTATCCCTTTTCTATATGAAAAAAGTGACTTGGCCTGGCGACATGCCCCATGCCTGTGATGCCAGCACTTTGGGAGGCCAAGACAGGCGAATCACTTGAGGTCAGGAGTTTGAGACCAGCCTGGCCAACATGATGAAACCGTGTTTCTACTAAAAATACAAAAATTAGCTGGGTGTGGTGGTGCATGCCTGTAATCCCAGCTACTCAGGAGGCTGAGGTGAGAGAATCGCTTGAACCTGGAGGGTGGAGGTTGCAGTGAGCTGAGATCACACCATTGCACTCCAGCCTGGGCAAAAGAGTAAGACTCTATCTCAAAAAAAAAAAAAAAAGATAAAAGAAAAGAAAAAAAAATAGTGACTTAAGATTAGAATGTATTCTTAAAGATTTGAAATACAAGAGAGGAAATAATTATTTGTTCTATTTATACTATATTTTTCTTCCACAGTAGAATAAATTTAATACCTATTTGCTTAAATTATTCTCCTAAGGAAAAAAAAACCCTTAAAAATATAAATATGGTCAAGTTCCAAATGTCAAGAACAACATAACTACTTAATATGTTTGAGTTACTTTCTAACATTAACAAAATTTCTATCTTTTAATATAAACATGTTAATTTCAGAGGTCATTATTTGGCTCACAAGATATCCAAATTCACATATTAAGGCACATTATAAAGGAATTGGGGTTCTAATGTCATCAGTTTAAATTAAAATAAACAAATTGTTGGTCAGATGTGGTGGTGGCTCATGCTTATAATCCCAGCACTTTGGAGGGCTGAGGTGGAAGGACTGGTTGAGCCCAGGAGTTCCAGACCAGCCTGGGCAACATAGCAAAACATCTCTACAAAATAAAAATTAAAAAATTAGCAGGGCATGGTGGCATGTGCCTGTATACAGTCCCAGCTACTCAGGAAGCTGGGGTGGGGGGATCACTTGAACCCAGGAGATTGAGGCTGCAGTGAACTATGAATGTGCCATTGCACTTCAGCCAGGGTGACAGAGTGAGACCCTGTCTTAAAAAAAAAAAAAAAAAATTCCCTACCATGTTTCCTAAGAAGCAGATTTAACCAGGCAAAAGTTTCACTAATTTTTTTTTAAATCCCATTATGTTTTTATTCTTATAAGGTAAAAGTCTTTTGCAGCTACAGAACTCCACAATCTATCTAGTGATTTTAATTACTTTTTCCTTTTTTAAAATAAAGGTTCTCAACTGACCTGTATTTGGGTCTAGTACAGCAGCACAAATGAAATAATACTTTATTATTAGTATAAATTGATGAAGCACATAGTACCCTCTCTTTCAGCTTCTTGGCAATGTTACCTCCACAAACTGATTCCCTTCCCTACAGATTGACAGATTAAAAACAAAACAAAACAAAGCCACATCTCAATCTCTAGGACAAGAAGCCCTGGTTGCCAAAAGTCACATAACTGACTTGTTCAATGTTCCTAGGCAATTTGGAACTAGCCTAACTTTTATGACGTATCTCAGATAAATTCACATTAAAATGCCCTAGCTAGGTTGGTATTTTTCTAGTTCAGTGGAAGCACACTTTTATACTGTTTTTCCAAATCTGCTACCTCTCTAAACCAGTTTCATAGCTGCAAATCAATACATTAAATGCATTCTAGGGGTTGGGTGTTTTCTGAGCCACAATTTTGTTGCTGTTGGTGGTGGTGGTGGTGACACAGGGTCTTGCCCTGTCACCCAGGCGGAAGTGCAGTGGCACGATCATCACTTACTGCAACCTCCAACTCCTGGGCTCAAGCAATCCTCCCACCTCAGCCTCCCGAGCAGCTGGGACTATAGGCATGCACCACCAATGCCTGCATATTTTTTTGTAGACACAAGGTTTCACCATGTTGTCCAGGCTGGTCTCAAACTCGTGAGTTCAAGTGATCTGCCCGCCTTTGCCTCCTGAAGTGCTGAGATTACAGGTGTGAGCAACTGCACCTCGCCTCTGAGCCACAATTCTATCTGCTCCAAATTCTGGTGGGCAAGTTTTTAATTTTAAAGAAATACTCAAAACTACACCTGAAGTTTATGCTATGTTACAGAGTCCACCCAGCCTCATTTTATTTTATTAACCATTACAGGAAACCCACTGGAAACTGCTAAATAGAAAGAACCAGCTTGTAATTAGTTTTTATTTTAGGGGATTTGGGTGCGATAGAAGACTTGTGCCTCATATCCCCAGTTACAGCCTCTTTCTCAACATTTTTCTTTTACCAATGCACACAAAAAAATTACAGACTTGCCTTGTGAGGTCGAAAATAGAGATACAGGCTGAGAGGAAGAGGAAGAAACAAAGGAATCTGAAAGAAAATATACAGCATGAGAATATGACCACCTCACACAGGAATTTTAACTTTAACTTTCTTTTTGATGGGGAGGAAGAGCCAAGCATCATAATTTCATTGGGTTTAACAAGGAGGAAAACTCACATCTTTATTTCCAATTATTGTTTTCACTCACCTGATAGCAAAATCTTGTTTTACTTTCAAGATGCATTTCTAAAAGTTAATCCATTCAATTTTTTTTTAGTCAAACATTCTCACCTTCAGAAAAAGAAAAGAGGAATCCCTAGCATTTTACATTAAGCGCAACCTCAAGAACAGATGCTGCTGCTCTTTTACTCTGTAGAAAAGGGAAAATAAGTATCTGAGTACTAATTAATATTTGCTTTTAACCATTCCTGAATGCATTTTGAGGAGTTAAATCACTAATAAAAGCATTTAAAAATATCTAATTGGCAAATATGCAAAGTTGACCCTAAATTTTTTTTAAAACTCACAGTCAATCCATAGGGAAAACAGGACTACATGAGAAATCTATCTTCTAAAATTATAATCCTCTAGGCCGGGTGCAGTGGCTCACATCTGTAATACCAGCACTTTGGGAAGCTGAGGCAGGTTGATCAACTGAGGTCAGGAGTTCAAAACCAGCCTGGCCAACATGGTGAAACCCCGTCTCTACTAAAAATACAAAAATTAGCCAGGCGTGGCAGCGCACGCCTGTAATACCAGCTACTCAGGAAGCTGAGGCAGGAGAATCGCTTCAACCTGGGAGGCAGGGGTTGCAGTGAGTCGAGATAGCGCCACTGCACTCCAGCCTGGGCAACAGAGTGAGGCTCCTTCTCAAAAAAAAAAAAAAAGAAATAAAATTATACTCCTCTAAATTCAGCAACATGTATCAAAATTTAAAAAGCACATATTCTCTTCCCAGTCCCCCTGCACACTATTCTCTAACTCTACACTTACACTTCTAAGAATTTATCCTACAGACATATTTGCATACATGCACAAAGATATGTGTATGAGGATATTCATAAAAGCTCTGGTTATAAATATTAGGAATACTCTAAACGACCATCAACAGAAGACTAAAGTTACACCTATCACTTGCTTTGGCAACACATACACTAAAACTGGAAGGATACACGGACTAGCATGGCCCCTAAAGTTATTTTTTTTTAAGTTACTGTGACATACTTGCTGCCATGAAAAAGAATGAGGTACAGCTATACCTTAGTATCTGAGGGGGATTGGTTCTCGAACCACCCCCCGGCTCCCCAAAATCTGAAGATGCTCAAGTCCTATGTATAAAATGGCACAGTATTTGCATATAACCTACACACATCGTCCCTTATACTTTATTCTTTAGACACCTAATACAACGTAAATGCTATGTAAATAGTTGTTACACTGTATTGTTTTAAAAATTTGTGTTTATTGTTGTTTTTTAAAAATATATTTTTGGTCCACAATTAGTTGAATCCACAGATGTAGAACCTGAGATAAGGTGGGCTAAGTGTATATGTAGATATAGTCCATATATGAATTAAAAAGCAAAGTGCAGGCTGGGCACGGAGGCTCACGCCTGTAATCCCAGCACTTTGGGAGGCTGAGGCAGGCGGATCATGAGGTCAGGAGATCGAGACTGTCCTGGCTAACACGGTGAAACCCCATCTCTACTAAAAATAGAAAAAAATTAGCCCGGCGTGCTGGAGGGTGCCTGTAGTCTCAGCTATGCGGGACGCTGAGGCAGGAGGATGGTGTGAACCCGGGAGGCGGAGCTTGCAGTGAGCCAAGATCGTGCCACTGCACT